TGATTGATGATGGGCCTGTTTTCCCAGGCTTCGATCACTTCCCTGGCTGTTTTTGTGCCTGCTCATCCAACAATCTTAGTAGCTGCTAATGTAATGATTTAAGCCTCTCAGAATCTTGCTAGAGTAGTTCTGTAGATTTTGTATCTATCCTTTAATTGACATCACCCAAAACATTTGGAATTAATGTTAGCATACCATACCATACAGCCATCTTACTTTTAATATTGGTTATATTACTGAAATATTTTGCAGAAAAGTCAGCTGATTCCACAATAAGAAAAGCTGTTTTTTACAGCTTCTTAATTTATGCACCGAAGAGCAATGTTTTCATGCTTTATAGTAAATGAGGACGTTGATTTTTTTTTCAGTAGCTTCAGTTTTGGCTCTTTTAGCTGGTAGCAGTTCTCCAAGATTTCATGCAAATATCTTTTGACCACCTGCTGTCAGTATTTTAACTTCAATGGAATTTTTTTTTAATGTCAACTGTAATTTTCCCGTTCCTGCCTTTGCAAATAAAAGTATTAACTTCTGTATATAAAACATGTTCTACCACACAATTCTGCCCAATACTTTGGTTAATTATGGGCTTCAGTTCTTTCAAGAATAAACACCACCAATTTCTATTTTCATTGTAGCTTTAACTACTTATTTCCTGTATAAGTTATGTCAGCAGGGGAGATTTTTAAAAAAATCAAGCTAATAGTTTCAGCCACCATCATGATTTCTTTGATGGTCCCAGTGGGCACCCCATTATACTTAAGTTCTCATTATACTTAAACATTCATACAAATGAATTTAGTAATGCCAAATTGTAGGCAACCGGCAGTCAGCAGAAGTAGCCTGCAGTACTGCATTCTAACCACTGCATCACCGTGGCTCATGGTTGTAAACTGATGACTATCTGTAGTGATGAGGACTGGGATTTTTTTATCACTTCAGTTATGGCTGAGTGATGCTTTGAAGATGCTATTCTGTTATATGTCTCTTGGGGAAATGGCCACCATTTTTCCAATGCGAATGAAATGGTAGCATCGTCTCCTGATTTCTGAAAATCTCTCAACGTAAACTTTCATTCTATAGGAAATAATATCTTTCACTGGCCATCATTGAAGCTCTATTTTGAACAGCATTGTGTTTCAACCAGTAAGTAGCCAAATGGATTTGGGGATATAAATGTGCTTTTCCCTTATTGCCGACCCCTGCCATTCAGTATTCATGTAGAATTGAGCATATGTTGTTTATTGACACAATTACTTGCTCAACTGTTGGTTACTGAGTTATTGACAGAGCATAAAGGAACCCGAGGAGATCAGGTTAAAGCTGCTTTAGTCCAGCTTCTGTTATTGTCCAGCATGGGATGTACTCAAGAGTTATGTTGCCTCTGATCCTAGAGGTCATCATATCTACCAGATGCTGATAACCTGTTTCCATGAATTGATGCAGTCTCTTCTAAAGTCATCTTGGTGGCCTTCACCCCATTTCTTGTTGGAAGTTCTTTAGTTTAGCTTTGCAGCGTGTTAGCCAAATTCTGTACTTTAACTTTGACGATGAATTGTCCACAAGTTCAAACTCATTGGACGAATTCTAACATATGAGAAGAAACGGGGGAACTGTGTGAGCCTTTTGCATTATTCGATCCCTTTCTATCACTTCTCTCTTTATTAGCTTCTCTACTTTAAAAAGCCTCAAATATAATCATCTTTCTATATGGGTGAAATAATACCACTCCTTCACCATTTAGATTCTTTTTTTTTCTTGCTCCATAATTGCATTTAATTCTTTTTTAAGAATAAAAATTCTTTTAAGAATATTCTAAATATAAGGCTTGAGGCACTCCGTTATGCAATTCATTCGAGGCAGTGACACAGTTATCTTTCTATTCATTCTGCACTTGTTGAACTTCTATACTTTGGCCTCTCTTTGGGGGAGAAAATTGCTGCAAGTAAAACATTTTCAACATAGTTAACATAGGCCTACATTTCTATCTTTACCATCGGCTTTGCTAATATTATAATGAAATCTCCGTTTGGTACAAATTTCAGTACAATCTGTACTTTATTACATTTTCTTCCCCTGTAAAAAAAATGTTCTTGTATCTCCAACCCTGTGTATGGAACTTCTCTTTTGTTCCACCATATTTATCAAGATATTTTTGATTGGGGCATTGGGACTGGGCAGGATGAGGATTACATAAAAAGAATGGCAGCCACTTTAATTGCACAGCCACTGCCACTGTCTTGCAGATGTTGACCCTTATTGTGAAAGTCGTGCTGTCACGCACAAACTATGGACACAGGATATATCTGGTTGATGATGATGAGAAAAAAGTTGTCCAGATTATGCGCTTCAGTTGAGCGCATCTGATCACTGCTCCATTAGATTCTGTTTCTCAAGTTTCTTTCATCCACCCATGTCTTTTTTTGACTCTTAATTTTTATCCAGGCTTCCATGAAGATAGAGGGAAGGAAGCAAAATCTCGCTATGTCAGGGGGGGAGCACAGACTGATTTATGTTTATTTGCCCGATTTCTAAGAGCAGTGATTGCCCACTTTCAATTCTCCTGTTCTACAACATTTAAGTAGTCATGTAGACCTTTCCTCTGAGGTTGGATTTCGGCCGTGGTGTCTTCCAGCAGGGATTTTCTTAGGGGACGATCAAAACATCTTGGGCTTGGACAATCTGGAACTGCACCGCCTGCGGTCCGATCTAAACATAATACACAAAATTGTCTGCTACAACGACTTGTCTGTCAATGAGTTCTTCAGCTTCAACCACAATAATACACGGGCAAACAATTGATACAAACTCAAGGTAAACGGCTTCAAACTCGATTGCAGAAAATACGACTTCAGCAACAGAGTGGTCAATGCCTGGATTGCTGTACCCAACTCTGTTGTTACATCCTCAAGCCTTCACAGCTTCAACTTTAAACTGTGTGCCATGGACCTCACCCCATTCCTAAGAGGTCCGTAAAGGGGGCGTGCATAAGCGCACCAGCGTGCCTACCGTCCCTGTCCTACTGTCCCCATTTATTTGTATTCATTTCCTATGTTCATTTTTATATTGATACCTTTACTTGTTATCTTGTACATGTTTGACAAATAAATAAATAAATAAAACGCCCACCCATGCAATTCATATTAAAAAACAACAACAAATGGTGCTTCAGGCACACCATTTTGGCTGCCATCTTGACTATTTGACCGCATCTAGTGGGTTTATTTATTTGATGTACTTTTAAACTTAAGATATTAAGGCATCCCTGGCAGAGGGCTCGCCAGGCCTTGTTTGAGGGTACACGAGGACTTGAATCCCCACCTTTCAAGTAATTGGTTCCACTATCAAGCTGCTAGGAAGTTTTTCCTGTCATCTGACTGAAGTCTGCCTTGCTGTAGCTTGAAGCCATACAGGTAGTCCTCAACCTATAACCACAACTGAGCAAAAAATTTGTGTTGTTAAGTGAAACATTTGCTTTGTTCTCTTTTACTAACTTTCTTGCCACTGTTGTTAAGCCATTCCCTGCAGTTGTTGAGTTAGTCGCACAGTTGTTAAGTGTATCTTGCTTCCCCATTGACTTTGTTTGTCAGAAGTTGCAAAAGATGATTACGTGATCCTGGGACATTGCAAACATCATAAGAACATTCCTGTTGCCAAGCATCTAAACTTTGATCACATGACTATGAAGATGTTGCAAAGGTCATGTGAAAAACAATCCATCACTTTTTTCAGTACCGGTGTAATATCGAACAGTCACTAAATGAATGATTGTAAGTCGAGGACTTACCTGAATTCCTTATCCTCTCTAGAACTCTTGCTAAAGAGTACATTTTGATGTTCTATGTGATCTCCTTACTTAATCCTCCTTTCCATCCTGTCTCAGGGACTGTCTGTTGTTTGTGATTGCTCAGTATATATCCTTCAGGGCAATGGACTATTCTGTCCACCATAACAGAGTTGGAAGGGACCTGGGAGGTCTTCTAGTCCAACCCCCTGCTTAGGCAGGAAAGGAAACCCTACACCACTTCAGACAAATGGTTATCCAACATCTTCTTAAAAACTTCCAGCGTTGGAGCATTCACAACTTCTGGAGGCAAGTTGTTCCACTGATTAATTGTTTTAAGTATCAGGACATTTCTCCTTAGTTCTAGGTTGCTTCTCTCCTTGATTAGTTTCCACCCATTGCTTCTTGTCCTGCCCTCAGGTGCTTTGGAGAATCACTTGACTCCTTCTTTGTGGCAGCATGTTGAATAAGGATACAGATAGCTAAGAGTCTACTTGACTTTCTTCACATGAATGGGAAAAGGTAGCAGCTTGATTTATATCTCAGGTAGGAAAAATTTTGGGCCATTTTTCCTGGAAATGAATGATTGTCCCTACTTTTGGAAAAAAAACTGGAAATAATTGAATCTACTGAGATCTAGACTACAAGACGACAGAGCAACTTGGTACCCTGAAAAATGGAAGAAGTATCCAAACTAATGCACCTCTGACCAGTGGTGAAATCCAAATTTTTTTTACTACCGGTTCTGTGGGCGTGGCTGGCTTTGTGGGCATGGCTGGCTTTGTGGGCGTGGCAGGAGAAGGATACTTCAAAATTGCCACTCCTGGGGGAAGGATATTGCAAAATCTCCATTCCCACCCCATTCTGGGGCCAGCCAGAGGTGGTATTTGCCGATTCTCCAAACTACTCAAAATTTCCGATGCCGGTTCTCCAGAACCTGTCAGAACCTGCTGGATTTCACCTCTGCCTCTGACCCCTTCTTCGAAGCCAAATTAAAATATTTCCATTCATCCAGAATATGGGAACCATGAGATGTGAACAGAATGCAAACATTGCCTTGGCTGCTCCTGAATTGCTATTTAGTCCTCCTCCTTTCTTCCTCTCTTAGGGAGAATCCAAAGGGTAGAAAACACACCCAGGGCAAGCCTCCAATTCACAGCCAACAGGCCGTTACTGTGACGACAAAACCTGCTTTTCTAAATACTACAAACAAGTGCCTTCAGTCTCAGCTGCTGCAACCATCTGCTGTGTGTGCTCAGCCTTTCACTTCTACTGAGAAATGACGACAGGTTCCCCCCCTCCAATCAGGGCTAGAACTGGGCCAAAGGTTGGTCAAGCCAAGGCATTTCGTAAACGGGACTTAAAAAAAAAAACACTGAGAAGACAGGAGGTCTGAAGAGCATCTACTTCAAACACTCATTAATTGAGCCAGTTAAATGATAAACCCTTTGTGACTACTGTTGGTTGGATGTTTCTGCGGATATCCATCCTTGGCAAGATGTCAGAAGAACTTTTCCCTGGGGTGATTTAAGAGACAAGCCCCCTTCACCTTGAATGGTGGGACGGACTAAGCAAGACAGAGTATTTAAGAAAGGAAAAGCAGAAGTCCCAGGAGGAAGTTTAGTAAGCAGCATCATGTTCCCTGAAAGGACCAACTAAATCTTCTCCAAAGCTAAGAACTGAAACTACTCTGGTAAAGTAAGTATTTACATGTATAACACCTGTGTGCATTTTGATAAAAAAAAAAAGAAACAATTCTTTGGGGTGACTTGTATTGCTTAATCTGAAAAAAATGCTTTTTTTTTTTTTTTTGAGAGAAGTTGTAAATTGGTGGTAGAACATATTCATGCCATGCAAAAAAATCCTGGTGTTTCTCTTCCTGGCTTCTATTTTCGATGTTTTCAGTTTGGGATATTGCTAGTATAGATAAAGATTGCTAATATAAGTTTTCTTCAGATTTGTTGGATGCCAGAACCCATCAGTTCTAGCTCAGCCAATGACCGTGGACTGGTGGAGATAATTTCCAAACATCTAGTGGATAACAGGTTGTTCACCCTTTGTTGTAGATACCGTAGGACATCCATTTTTTAGGCTCAGTTCAGTTGAAGGCAGTATCCATTCTTATCACCCAGGGGTTTTTTGGCTAATAATTGTAAGTTTTAATGAATTAAAGACATATCTTTTTCCTCTCTATAATTTGCAATTCATCTCATAGGCTAAATATTCTCATCATCATCGTCAGTTGTAAAGAACAGATAATGCCACCCCAAGTGCAAGCACGAATGAATGCCACTCCAAAAGTGGTCCAGGGAGACTTGAAGAGCCTGGCACCCAATGTAAGAAAGTTCATTGAAAGCAATGCCAAGCTATGCCAACCGAAGGCCATCCACATCTGTGATGGATCAGAGGATGAGAACAAAAAGATCTTGGAGCTCATGGTAGAACAAGGCATGATCAAGAAGCTTAGAAAATATGAAAATTGGTAAGGGACCTCTATTGTATGCTGTACAAAGCCAAACATCTGATCCACTGTGCAACATTCCTTAGGGTTTTCCCCAACTTGTACTTAGTGGTGGTATATGGGCTTGAAATAACTTTTCTGTCCTCTGCGTTTCATCTCTTATTCTAGCATTGTCCAAAAGCATCCTGAAAATGTGTACAAAACCTCTTGGAGGGGCATCTAGAAGTAACCAGGAAGAGAGACAATAGAGACAAGATAGGGATCAGCTATGGGGCAACAAATTTCATGCCAGACTAGCTCAATGAAGGATGGAGAGCAATTCAGTTCAGCAATGGGGAACTGTCCATAAGTAGCCAGTGTGTTAATGCAATTAATTTAATGTTCTTCCTGGATAGTTCAATGTAGGGAAGAATAAAAACCGAATTTCTCTTTCTTTTTTCTACATTATTCCAATACAGAACTGCCACTCTTTAATGGATGTGCCATATTTTTAGTGGCTACGTAGCTATCAAAATATCAATAGATAAAGATTTTCTCATTATTGAATGTCTTAGCTGGAGAAAACTTCAGATAGCAATATTTCACAAAATCATTAGTTTTCTTCTAAAAATACCACTTTTCTTTGTCACTTTGCAGTCATTCTGATTTTTAATTTTTGGGATCTATCTTCTTTGTGCAGAAAAGATAAAATAAAATCAAGTAATGTATTCAACCTGTGTACACAGAGGAAATGTAACATGATTTAAGCCATAGGGGGTGGTTGGGTTTAAATCTGGTTTGGTGAAGCAGATTTCTGGAAACCGGTATATGGAGTACAGACTGGCTCTCCCCTTTTCCAAACTTTAGGGAGAAATTTTATAAGTTTATTTCTTCAACTGCTTAAAAGAATAATTACACATGCAGCACATTAAGAACACAAAATAAAACAGACAATTTAGCTGGAACCTAGAAGAATAAGCCAATAAGACAGTTTTCTCCTCTTTAGTTTCCTGGTTCACTGAAACTTACAGTAGATTTGCTAATACTTGATACCACAGAGTTCTCATGCCACAGATCAAATTCCGTTGCAATTCATGCCAATTCAACAATAACACCAGTTTGCGATTAGCACAAATTATGCAATCACACCATATAGTAATGTAAATTGACCCAAGTAGCATAGTTTGCATCTTTGACTTTATTGCAATGATAGACTTTTTGATTTACCAGACTTTGGTGAATAATGGAACCCTCTTCCCTACAATGAGAGGTTAAATAAATTAATTGGCGGTTAGTTGAAAAGAGTTTTCATTGTATGTCTCATTTATATAAGATATCCTAAAAGTCTTAATGCAGATCTAAATAAAACAATCGACTGAAGCTTGGCCACATTCTTGAAAGTATATGAAACCCTAAAATGCTTCATAAAATTTTGGTTTATCATTTTAGAAATCAATATTGAGACTAGCATAGGAAGGAGATACGTTAATGATTTCCTTCCCAACATAATCAAGCATCAACACCTGAAAATCAGGAGAACAGAAGGAAATAATAGGTATAGACAGAGAGATAGAGATATGCACATACATACACGCGCGCGCGCGCGCACACACACACACACACACACACACACAAACACATGTATATATTGCAGGTATGTATGTATATTTAAAAGTTATTTGTATCCAACTTTATTATTTTTTACCTATAATTCAAGGCAGCAAACATATCCAACATGCCTTCCTCCTCCTATTTTTCTCAGAACAACAACCCTGAGAGAGAGTGACTGGCCTAAAGCCTAAAGAACTGCTTTCTAGCCTGGTGCCTTAACCACTAGACCAAACTGGCTTTACATGCATGCATGCATGTTTGTGTCTGTGTAATTCCACCTTCAAGGAAATGCAGCCCCAGTTCTCATTTCTTTTCATTATTGTCTCTAAGATGCGGCAGCAGCTTTAAATTAATTATGGGTAGCATTCTGCATAGAGCAAACAAGCAAAGCCCCATCTGAGGGATGCAGGCAGGATGCAAAATCAGATCCCCTCTGGGCCATGGAAAACTCTATCTTCATGGAGCCAGTCCCTAATGCCCAAAATGTTGGAGGCCGCTGCCCTAAAGATTCTCCCAGACTGAAAGTATCTTGAGAGCTCCTCTCTAATATTCCAATGATGGAGTCTGAAAATTCCATTCTAGAAACTCCAGAAGTTTTAATGTTTGGAAATAAATATAAAGCGTCTGGAAGTTTTAATGTTTGGAAGTAAATATAAAGCATCTGGAAGTTTTAATGTTTGGAAGGAAATATAAAGCGTCTGGAAGTTTTAATGTTTGGAAATAAATACAAAGAGGCATTTCCATTATTTTTCATTCCAATTAGAAATGGGGAATGCACGGCACTATTTTAGATAATGAGGTGGTTATTGCTTATTTTATCTCCTTCCTGCTTCTCCTCCCTAAAAATAGTTTTAAAAAGATAGCTGAGAACCTAGCAGGAGTTGGGCTCCATTTGTGAAATGTCTCTGTACAGAATAAAGTCATGTTCATTAGCACAACTTCACCAGGAGTAAATGGTTTGACTGCACTTAAATGAATAATATTCCTTTCACGATCCAGCATTGTATGGTGCTAGACTGTCTTGAGATAAGGAGAAATTGAATTGGATTTCTGTCATTTTTATTGCTCGCATGACAAGTGTAAATGTTCAGCTTCTCGTCTCCACAGCTGGTTAGCCTGCACCGATCCAAGGGACGTGGCCAGAATCGAAAGCAAAACTGTAATTGTGACTCCAGAGCAGCGAGACACCATACCAATCCCCCAAAGCGGAGTGAGCCAGCTGGGACGATGGATGTCAGAAGAAGATTTTGAGAAAGCCTTCAGGATCAGATTCCCTGGGTGCATGGAAGGTAGACACACACACACACACACACACACACACAAAATACAATTTTATGGTTAGAAGTAAAATACTGCAGCTTCCTAACTGTGGTGAGATAGCAATAGCACTTAGACTTGTATATCGCTTTGCAGTGCTTTAACAGCCCTCTCTAAGCGGTTTACAGAGTCAGCCTATTGCCCCCAACAATCTGGGTCCTCATTTTACCCACCTCGGAAGGATGGAAGGCTGAGTCAACCTTGAGCTTGGTGAGATTCAAACTGCCAAACTGCTGGTAATCGGCAGTCAACAGAAGTAGTCTGCAGTACTGCACTCTAACCATTGTGCCATCACAGCTCTTCACATAGAAGAGATAGAAGAACATTGCTTCAAAGATGTTCACAAAACATGTTTTTTTCCCATTTATTCCATGGCTAAGCAGTCCTTGTAAGCCCAATAAAAAGAGCAAATTCTGTTAATAATTGAGTGAGTGTGAATGCCACAGCCAATGACGCCTTTATTATAATTATTTTTACCTCAGGAAAACCAGTAGAATGGTGGTTTATTTATAGTTGTGTCTGGGTGGGCCTATAATGCCAGTTATTTAATACTAGCTCTCTTCAGATTTGCTAGTCTACTTAGAAGTCCCATCTGGATTTGGATGGACAGCATGTAACTCTTGAACTACTGTTTTGGAATCCAGTCATCTAATTTTTAAAATGTGTTTCATGAAGGGTTGGAATGGCCCAGATTGATCTTCAACAAAAAAAGTTGCACTACAGACTACTGTTGTTCAGCTCCTGTTTCCTTCCCATGAGAGCTGTCCACTCCCTTATATTTTTCAAACACCTTCCCCTTGGGGATGTTCCAGAACCTCTGTAAAATTTAAAGGTTTCCCAATGTTATTGATATCTCCTCTATGATGATCAAGTTATCATATCTGCCTTTTAAACCTCCTTAGTAAGACCACAATTTCCACAAAGATAGAATGAGACTGCAATCTACACTTATCTTCTAAGCTTAAAATTGGAACAGCTTAATGATATACTGCTGGAATTGGCATAAATTTGCAATAAAACATGGAGCTAAAGAGTAGTAATCAATAAATCCAACTCCCGTTAACTGGCAGAATGTTTGTTTCATTCTTCTGAATTTGGAATCTGGCCCTTACGTGCTGATTTTGCCAGATGTTACCTAGTATTAAAATGATTTGTACCCAAGTTCTGTAAACAAAACAAAACCTTTACCCATAAATGTGTATTTTATTGGAAACAGAGAAAAAGAGTATTGAATGGGGAGCAGCCTTCATGAGCCTGGTTCCCCCAGATGTTTTGAACCTGAACTCTCATGCTGGCTCAGAATGATGGGAGTCCAGTCCAACTGCAAGCTGTCTGAATGGGGAGAATAACGGAAGGGACCTTGGAGGTTTTCTAGTCCAACCACCTGCTCAAGCAGCCATTGGACAGCCATTTTGGATAAATGGCTGTCCAATCTTTTCTTAAGACTAGTATAGTAACTTAGTAGAGATTTATAATTTTGTTTAGGATTCTATCCTCTGCTTCTCTTCTGCAGGTCGTACCATGTATGTCATCCCATTCAGCATGGGACCGATTGGTTCTCCTTTATCCAAGTTTGGGATTGAGTTGACTGATTCTCCTTATGTGGTGGCCAGTATGAAAATTATGACTCGTATGGGAACATCTGTCCTAGAGGCTCTGGGTGATGGAGAATTTGTAAAATGCCTCCATTCGGTTGGGTGCCCTTTACCATTAAAAAGTAAGTCATTCTACTACAAAATTTATTTGGCAAGGGAAGAAAGCCAGAATTAGATTAAAAGTATTACAAGACACAAGAGACAGAGGAGGAATAGCCTTCCCGGACTGGGAGACCTATTACCAAGCAGCTGGCTTAGTCTGGATAAAGGAGTGGATAGAAATAGAAAATAAAAGACACTTAATATTAGAGGGACACGATCTTCATGTAGGGTGGCATGTATTTCTATGGGAGGGAAAACAGAGCACTCATACATACTTCAAAAGCCATGTAATTAGAAACTCACTCTTAACAATTTGGAACAAAATTAAGAAACATCACTATATAGGAGTACCGTCCTGGATCTCCCCAGAAAAAATATTAACACACCTAAATTTAGTAGACTGGTCCAAAATTATTAGATATAGGGATATTGTTAATGAAGGGGAAACTCTAAAAGCAAAAAACGAATTGGAACAGGATTTAGGGAAATACAATGGTGGTCATATCTACAAATAAGATCAAAATATATTGAGGAGAGGAAAATGGATCAAATTAGAGTAGAACAAACCGACCTTTAACAAAATTCTGTTAAAGAATGAACAAAAACTAATTAGTAAAATATACAAATTTCTATTATGGTATAAAATGGCAGAGGAAACTGTGAAAGAAACGATGATCAAATGGGCCCAAAATTTTAATTATTCGATAGAGTTGGAGAAGTGGGAGAAGATGTGGAAAACAAATATGAAATTAACAATCTCAACTGTATATAAAGAAAACCAGATGAAAATGTTTCACAGATGGCATCTTCCACCAGCAAGAATAGCGAAAATGTTCCACAGCAATTCTCCAAAATGCTGGAAGTATAAGATTAGTTATGGAACATTCTATCACCAATGGTGGACATGCCCAGTGGTGAAAAATTTTTGGAAGAAAATTAAAAATTGGACTGAAGAAATAATCCAGAATTCAATAGAGGGAAAACCTGAAGTTTCTATTAGGGATGTCAATAGAAAATTATACTAAAGAAACACAGTATCTCATACTACATATACTGACAGCAGCACATATTATATATGTGCAATACTGGAAGAAAGAAGAATTACCATCAGATAAGGATATAATTAAAAAGATTTTGGAATGCGCAGAACTGGATAAACTAACTAAAGAAATTCAGGGGAAAGAGGAAACCAAATACTATAAAGTGTGGAATAATTGGTATGAATGGCTGAAAAATAAGGAAATAAATTAAAGGAATGAAGAAGGGAAAGAGAAAAATGTGATAGATCAATTAATATGTTAGTAGAAATGAAATACAATAGGAGAAAAAGGCTGAATAAGTTAACATAATATCTGTAAATATTAATATATAGTAAGAAATGGATCACTGTTAAGTAGCTGAAAAAGAAACTAAGATTCTTGTATATGTTGTATGTCTATGTATGTCTTTTTAGCTATGTTTAAAATGAAAAACTTTTTTTTAAAAAATAAAAATAAAAAGTAAGTCATTCTTAAGCTAAAATTTGTTCATCCTGTCTTTCCCAAAAGATAATTGTCGTTAATTTATTTACCAAGCAGAATATTCAGAGCACTGTAGTTATGGAGTTGCCAAGTATCTCTTTGAATAAAAGATGCTAAGTTGGGACTGGTTGGCCATTAAATGCAACAAACCAGAAATTATTCATTAAAGAAAGAACCAACAAAGCATTCCTAAATATTTTTGGGTTCTTCCAAATGACTGAATTGTAGCTTGGATGAGAAAATTAAGTGCAATCTGGTCCACTGTTTCCCATCACATCTTTTTCTCAAAGCACCCATGAAGAATTAGCTTTTTTCAAAGAACGTGGTGTACTACGAGTCACTGCAGCACTGCCTGCTAAGCAAATAACTGCACTGTATTACAACTTAACTTCTTTTTAACCAGACAAAAGAGAAAGGAATACAGGTAGTCCTTGACTTATGACCACAAACTGAGACCAAAAATTTTGTTGCTAAGTGAGACATTTGTAAAGGCAATATTTCCCATTTTACGACTTTTCTTGCCACATTTGTTAAGTGAGTAACTGCAGTTGTTAAGTTAGTAACAGGGTTATTAAATGAATCTGACTTCCCCATTGACTTTGCTGGTCTGAAGATGGCAAAAGGTGATCAGAGGACTCCAGGAGACTGAAACTGTCATAAATACATGCCAGTTGTCAAGCTTTTGAATTTTGATCACATGACCATGGGATGCTGCAATGATCATGTGAAAAATGGTCATAAGTCACTTTTTTTAGTGCCATTGTAACTTTGAACAGTCACTGAATGAACGGTTTTAGTTGAGGGCTACCTGTATATTCATCAGTGGTGAAATCTAAAATTTGTTACTACCAGTTCTGTGGGCGTGGCTTGGTGGGGGGGTAATGTGACTGGGTGGGCATGGCCAATTTTTTTTTTTTACTTTTAAAACCATTTTTTCTACAACTTCTTCAATGAAGAGGTTGTAAAAAAATGCTTTCAAAAGGCTCTGATGATCCCAGCTGAGTTGCCAGATCGGCAGAGGCTTTTTTTCTTTTAAATGCCTCTAACAATCAGGCAACTCAGCTGGGATCGTCAGAGCCTTTTAAAAGCATTTTTTGTAGAAAAAATGCTTTTAAAAGCCTCTGACGATCCCAGCTGAGCCACGTGATCATCAGAGGCTTTTTTTTTTAACTTTCAAAAGCATTTTTTCAGCTGAAGATGTTGTAGAATTTTTTTTTTTTAAAGTAAAAAAAAAGCCTCTGATGATTGTGCGGCTCAGCTGGGCATGAGGGGGGGGCAGGGATTTTGCTACCAGTTTTCTGAACCACCCGCCTCCATCACTACCGGATCGGGCGATCTGGTCCAAACTGGGAACATTTCACTCCTGATATTCATGCTGTCTAGTTTCAAAAGAGTACATGGCAAAAAGGCTATTGCTTAGCGCATTGTAAGCCGCCCTGAGTCTCCGGAGAAGGGCGGCATATAAATCAAATTAAAAAAAAAAAAAAAGATGTCACTTTTATTCAGGTGCTCAATCAGAAGTAACAAACTCTTATTTTGCATTTTGTAGAGCCTCTAGTGAATAACTGGCCGTGCAACCCAGATTTGACGTTGATTGCTCAGATCCCTGATCACAGGGAGATCATTTCTTTTGGAAGTGGCTACGGGGGAAACTCTCTTCTAGGAAAGAAGTGTTTTGCTCTCAGAATTGCCAGCAGGATTGCCAAGGAAGAGGGCTGGCTTGCAGAGCACATGCTGGTGAGAAAAGTTTTAACAACTGAGTTATTTTCAATTCCAGGCAACGGATTAAGATATCAATCCAGGGTCAACATGGCTAAAGACCAGTGGTGAAATCCAATTTTTTTTTACTACCGGTTCTGTGGGCATGGCTTGGTGGGCGTGGTGTGGCTTGGTGGGCGTGGCAGGGGAAGGATACTGCAAAATCTCCATTCCCACCCTGCTCCAGGTGAAGGATACTGCAAAATCTCCATTTCCACCCTACTCCAGGGGAAGGATACTGCAAAATCCCCATTCCCTCCCCACTCTGGGGCCACCCAGAGGTAGTATTTGCCAGTTCTCTGAACTGCTCAAAATTTCCGTTACCGGTTCTCCAGAACCTGTCAGAATCTGCTGAATTTCACCCCTGCTACAGACCCATGAATGAAAATTCATGGTTGCTTAGTTCTTCCCAACTCTCTGGATTTGTATATGAGTATTAAAAAAAAGGAGAAGGATTTTCACTGAATTCTGTAAGGATGTTTTGATAGATAGGCATCCATTGAAAAAAAATATTTAAGAGTTTGAATCAGCAAACCCTTTCTGACTTCAGTAGTGGGGAAAACGAATGTCATGGAGAACGGGGGCGCGACTAGAATGTTGATAATGAAGACTATAAGCTCTCAGGACAGTTCAGCTAGCCAGAATAAATACCTATTCTCAGTATGTTATATTCCCTGAGTGTGTCCAGCATACTTGGCTCAGGCTGTCCAATTTTGGAATGCTATTATGGAGAGATGCTGTGCTCCGGGTAAAACCAAAGTAATTTCCCTGACAACATCCTATAACCGTGATGGTGAACCTATGGCACGGGTGCCACAGGTGGCATGCGGAGCCATCTCTGCAGGCATGCGAGCCATCGCCTAGGTCAGCTCCACTGCACATGCGTGCATGCCTCCCGCCGGCCAGTTGACTGGTCTGTGGAGATGCGCACGCATGTGTGGGAGGGACTGGGCAGGGTGGACATGCATGCATGGGCAGGGGGCAAGGGGGTTGTGCACGCATGCACAGGGGTTGTGCACCCTATGCCCCATTTTGGGCCTATCAGGCCTCCCTGAAATCTCTGGGACCAAAAATAAGCCGGAGGCGTGAGGGGGGGCACACAAGTGTGGGGGGGGGGGGAGTCACGCCTGCATGCGCAGGGGGGAGGGGAAACGGGCCCCCGCGTGCATGACAGGGGGAGGGGCATGCAGGAGGCATTGCATTATGGGTGTGGATACACACACGCGCACTGTCGCACACACACACGTGCTCTTGGCACCCGAGGAAAAAAAGGTTAGCCATCGCTGTCCTATAATATCTTCCGGAATCGTTCAACTACAGGATATCCTCGACCTATGACCACAAGTGAGCCCAACATTTCTGTTGCTGAGTGAGACTGTTGTTAAGTGAATTTTGTCCCATTTTACGATCTTTCTCGCCACAGTTGTTGAGCGAATCACTGCTGTTGTTAAGCTAGGAATATGGTTGTTATGTGAATTCGGCTTTCCCGTTAACTTTGCTTGACAGAAAGATCACGAAAGGGGATCATGTGACCCTGGGACAATGCAACCGTCATAAATATGAGTCAGTGGCCAAGCGGCTGAATTTTGATCACATGATCTTGGGGATGCTGCAAGTATCTGAATGTAAATCACGTGACCAGGGGGGATGCTGCAATGGTCATAAGTGTGAAAAACAGTCATAAGTCGTGTTTTTCAGTACTGTTGTGACTTTGAACGGTCCCTAAATGGACTGCTGTAAATTGAGGATTACCTGTTTTGTGCCAAAATAATAATGGGGATAGGCTTCATCCCAATGGCTGAGCGATGCTTTGAAGATGCTGTAAGTTACAGTCTCCATCAAAACATGGCTTGGACGAGGAGCAAAATACTTAAATATGGAAAATTCATGCAGAGCAACTAGAAGAATGAATTAGGCATGCGAGATAACATTCAGTTGTTGTATGCCTGTCTTATTTTTCATGAGATGCCTATTTTGAAGTTAAAGCAGTAGTCCCCGAATGCTTTGAGTACGATTAAAAATAAAATTTTAAAAGGACATATTTATTTGTGAGCCAGCCAGAGTCATTGAGGGTTAGGCAGCAGACACGTATTTATTTATTTATAACATTTATGTTCTGCTTCTCATCTCAAAGTGGGATTTTCTCAAGCAGAGAAAAAAAAGTACAGGCACTCTGAAGAAAATGTATGTACATCTATACAATTTTAGCATAGTGTAAAGTAGGAGGGCCCAACCTTGGTTACTTTAAGACTTGTGGACTTCAACTCCTTGGTAACTTTAAGACTTCAACTTCATGCTATGGCTGGGGTATTCTGGGAGTTGAAGTCCACAAGTCTTAAAGTTGCCAAGGTTGGAACCCCTGGTGTCAGTGGGGAAATCCTATCAGTTCGCACCATTTCGGGCGAACTGGTAGTGATAAAAACTACTGCTTTGGGTGAACCGGTAGTAAAAAAAAAGTATTGGCCACGCCCAGTCACATTACTCCCCCCACCAAGTCACGCCCACAGACCCGGTAGTAACAAATTTTAGATTTCACCACTGCTTCCTAAGCCACCGTTTTCCATGCAAAGCTCATGTTTGGCGTGTAGTGTGTATGCGCGCTGCAGCGTGTGTTTGGTGCGCCCCATGCATGCATGCGCACGCAACACGCATTTGACACGTACTGTGCATGCACACACACAGCGCGTGCTTGGTGCACACCGTGCATACGTGGCCAGCATACCGGTGACAAACCTGTTCAGATTTCACCACTGCCTGGTGTGAACTATAATCTTACATTCCCTGAACTATATTTCACCTGCAACAAGATTAGTTGAAGTCAACTACAATTTCAGAATAATGACAAGATCGGAAGTTGCCGTTAAGAACACTTATCATATATCTTAATGCTTTTGCTTGATGCTGCATGTTGAGTTTTGAGGGGAAAAAAGCATTCCTTGTGTTTTTAAACAGATTTTAGGTATCACAAATCCAAAAGGTGAAAAAAAATACTTTGTGGCAGCTTTTCCTAGTGCATGCGGAAAAACGAACCTGGCTATGATGAATCCATCTTTGCCAGGGTGGAAAGTGGAATGCGTTGGAGACGATATTGCTTGGATGAAATTCGACGACAAAGGTAATTTACTTAGAATTCAGCTGGGAGTTGACGGTCCAAAGCTCTGTTCCAGTTAGCTGGGGAAACTATACTCATCTATATCTTTTCCCTCCCATCAATTGTGGTGTTGTTCCAAGAAGGGAAAAGGTAATGATTAATTTGTACACATTTGAGACAAGCATTTGTGTGCACTATTTATATATTGAATTTATATCCTTGGGCAGTCAAAATTGACTTTGCAGTTTGCATGATATAAGGCAACAGTAAAACATCCACGGCATAAATTAAAAACTTCTAAAACAAAATGATTTCATAAGTTACACCCACTTACCAGTAAAAATAAATTGATGGCAAAATCCAAACTAAGATGCTTTACAAAATAATTCAGTTTTAAGTGTCTTTCTGGGAGCCTTCAGAAAGGGGGGCAGTTCAATTACAACTGTGAGATTATTCCAGTGAGCTACTGAGCTTGCCAGAAATATGGCCAATAAGCAGTTTTTGTTGCAATTACCTTATAAGTCATACCCATTTTAGTTGGAATCAAGGGTTCTGCAAATGCCAAGCCCTGGATGTTAGAACAATTGTTCTCCAAGGGCTTTCCCTAATGTTCTGGATTTCTTTATAGAATGAGAGGTGGTAAAGGATGTGGCAAGCCCTTGAAGTATATGAGATTGAGTTGCTTACAAAAATGGGAGACTATTCCAACATTCCCAGGAGAGACTAGGCAATTAGAAGGGCAGGGTGGAAAATAGCAAGTTTTATGAATGCAGGTGATTAAGTGAAGGATGGGAAGAATCCTAAATGATCATTTAAGAGGCTCATGATATTTCAACTTTGGTCGTTTCAAAGTTAGAGTAGCCTTTCCCCATGCTGTCACTATACTTCCATGCTAGCATAAATTTTGGGAGCGGTAATCCTGGTTCAACCTGAGAGCAGGGCTGGGATTCAGCCAGTTTGGGCCAATTGGGGTGAACTGGATGTTAATTTTAATCTGGTTCACCAAACCGGTTGTTGCAAGGACTGGCTGACCCCACCCACTCCATCCTGCCCCTCCCAGGAATCTCCACGCAGCCTGTAATGGATGCCAGTTAAGTGCAGGGCCTGCGCGGAGGCTCTGAGAAGGTGAAAAACGGGCCTACCAGAAGGACTTCTGTTCCGGAAGTCCAGAAACAGACCCGTTTATGACCTCCGGAGGGCCTCTGGAGCCCAGGGGAGGCCGTTTTCGCCCTCTCAGAGGCTTGAGGAAAGCCTCCGGAGCCTGGGGAGGGTGAAAATACCCCCCCTGGTGCCGGAGGCCAGGTAGGCCATGCCCACCATGGCCACACACCCCAGCAGCTGGGCAGAGAACTGGTTGCTAAAATTTCTGGATCCCACCCCTGCCCAAGAGTACCAGATGGAATTAAGGAAGACAAAAATAATAGAGGTGAAAGAAAGGAAAGGTTATAGTAGAGTTGGGTAAAGACTGGGTTGATGAATATTTGGAGGTAGGTCCCACAGGTGCTTTTTCAAAAGGCAACTGGACTTCTTTTGTTCTTGCTTGAAGACGTTTCGCTTCTCATCCAAGAAGCTTCTTCAATTCTTGGATGAGAAACGAAACGTCTTCAAGCAAAAACAAAGTTCAGTTGCCCTTTGAAAAAGCACCTTTGGAACAAAAATGACTCGGGAACAGAGGTGGGTTTCAGCAGGTTCTGACCAGTTCGGGAGAACCGGTAGCAGAAATTTTGAGTAGTTCAGGTAGTAAAAATTCTGACTGGCCCCGCCCCCATCTATTCTCTGCCTCCCAGCTGATTGGGAGGAAATGGGGATTTTGCAGTAACCTTCCCCTGGAGTGGGGAGGGAATGAAGATTTTACAGTATCCTTCCCCTGCCACGCCCACCAAGCCACACCCACAGAACCAGTAGTAGAAATTTTTGTAACCCACCACTGCTCGGGATGGCTGAGAATCTCTATAGACATTCAGAGGGAGGAGAATAAGTTGTGATGAATGGACAGAAAGAAGAGGAGATAATAATAGAAAATATTCCCACTGCCTCTCTGGCATCTTAGCCACCTTGTGAATGATTATTTGAAGATAGCATCTTACCTAATGTTTCCTAGGTAATTTAAGAGCCATCAACCCGGAGAATGGCTTTTTTGGAGTTGCTCCTGGAACCTCCGTGAAAACCAATCCCAATGCTATGAAGACAATAAAAAAGAATACCATCTTCACCAATGTAGGAGAAACTAGTGATGGAGGCATATATTGGGAAGGTATTGATCAGGAGCTTCCACCAGGAGTCACTCTCTTGTCTTGGAAAAAGAAAAAATGGACTGCCGAGAATGGTACGAAGGAGACCTATCTTTCCATTTCTCTATTATTTGGGTTGCATTTTTGGTTACTGCAATAATGAAAGTGTGACATATATTTGTCTGAATATATTTGAACAGAGGAGCCTTGTGCTCATCCTAATTCCCGGTTCTGCTGTCCTGCTAGCCAGTGTCCTATTATTGATCCTGCCTGGGAAAATCCAGAAGGAGTCCCAATTGAGGGCATCATATTTGGAGGACGGAGACCTGAAGGTAAGAACCACAAACTAAGATAATGGCTCCTTCAGCTTAAAAAAGTATTGAAAACAATTCAGAGTCATTTGTGTAAATTAGGTTGTCTGAAAAATTAGGAAAAAAATTGATAAATATTGGAGATAAATTACATTAAGGTAAATAAGAGGGGAAAAAATAACTAAAGTGCCACATAAAAGATGACTATCCCGTCTTTCTGTGCCTGAGATACAGAGTTAATTGTCTTAAATTGTAAGAAGTCAGATTTCAGTTAAATATTACAAATTAACAATAAGAGTGTCTTGATACTAGACTAGTGACAGTCCATTTCCTCATTAGTGATTTAATGGCATTTTCATAGCACCACTCAATCCCTATTGCAGGGATATCATTACTGCTATTTTACTTTGATAACTCTAGAACAGCAGTGTCAAACTCAGTTTTATTGAGGGTCACAATAAAAACACATTAGGGTTGTTTTTGACCTTGGGGGGGGGGGGGGGTATGGCCAGGGTAGGCACGATCAGGCCTACTCTGTTGTGTTTGACCTTGGGGGGAGAGGGGTATGGCCAGGGTAGGCACATGATGTCACGTGTCGGGGAGCGCCTGTGGTGGCCCAAGTGCTCTGCCAGTGAAAGCGTAGCTTGGGGGGCCCATGCACGGCCCTCACGAGTTCTAATTTTGCTGGCAGAGGCTGCAGGCCGGTCCTTTGCTATTTCCAGGGTGGCCCCGTGGGTCCCCGGGCCTTGAGTTTGACATCCCTGCTCTAGAAGATGTACAGGGAAATGACTGGAGAGAGGTCCTCCTTTTCTCGTCATTTTTATGCAGAGCTAGACACCCGTCTTCCAGAGATGCCTTAAGATGAATTCCTTCTTTGAACAGAGAGGTTGAATTAAGTGGCCTCTTCTAAGCCATGATTCTAGGCCACCTGCATTTTTTTTTAAAGTCGGCTAGACTGCTGCAGAAAAGAAGGTTATTTCTTAGCAGAATATCTGATATGGTGGGAATTGCAGTCCCAACATTTCTGTAGGGCACCAGCTATAAGGCTTAATATGTCTAGCTGTAGTTCATTTGCAAACCACAGTAGCTTTCATGGTACATATGGAAATTATAGAATAGTTCTTAGATAGCCTTTGATCAGAGAAAGTCGCATTTCCCTGCCATTCACAATACTGAACTCTCTTCCCATCCCAAGTATTACTCAGCAGTACCTTTGCAGAGGCAAATGGGCCCTAGCTAACATAAATCCCCTTCCCTGACTCTTTGTACCTTAAGATAGATAGAACTGTTTACATTCTGAATAGATTAGATAAGCCACAGGGAGGCTGGCTATGCAGTGATCCCAAATTTACAAATGCTGGTGAACGGATGCCAGCTGCTGCCGTGATCTAAAGCAGCAAACTCAATTAGGTGCAGCACCAGTAACCTTTAAATATTCCAACCATTCTGTTTTCTCCAGGTGTGCCTCTAGTTTATGAGGCTCTTAACTGGCAGCACGGGGTATTCATTGGTGCAACAATGAGATCGGAAGCAACAGCCGCTGCTGAATATAAAGGTAAGTCAATGTGAAATAATGCCTTGGCAATAATGCCTTTAAATGCCTTGGCATTTAAAGTGCAAGGCTCAATATTTTCACCTAGAAATTCTGATCATTTGAAAGAACCTTCCTTCCTTCCTTCCTTCCTTCCTTCCTTCCTTCCTTCCTTCCTTCCTTCCTTCCTTCCTTCCTTCCTTTGATAGTAAAGGAAGTTGGTACTTAAACAATTGCCACCCCATACAGGGCATGCAATTGAGTCATTGTGTAAATAAAGAAATACTTAGATTTTAGGCAGGAGGGTCTATTCTATTCTAATCAATTATCTTAGATAATTGTTATGTATCTTCCACATTCAGAACCAAGCCATGGTTCTGGGAAGCAACCTCTGAAAGGGCACGATGGAGTCATGTCTGCTTCCCAGCAGTATCTGTTGTTAAATCCAGCAGCCATGTAGGATTCAATTTCCTGATAATAGGGATAGATGTGGATAAAAAAATGGGGAAAGATACCATATATATATATCTTTCGTCATCCAGCATGACGACAGCAAAAACAACACAGCTGATTACAAGTGGGAGACGGCTGGAAGGGCCTATTACACGCGCAAGGGCTAAATTGATTAATGGCATATAAAGGCAGAGATCTCTGTCATGGTAGTTTAATACTCTGACGATGTCAGCAGATGGCTGACGAAAGCTTAGCAAAATAAAATTTTAATTCTTTTAAAATTTTAAAATCTTAAGTTCCAGAGTTCGCAGTATGTCTGCTTCTTGTTTTACTAATATTCCTGGAACTCGTATTTTTAGAATAGTTTGTAATAGATAGATAGATAGATAGATAGATAGATAGATAGATAGATAGATAGATAGATAGATAGATAGATATAAATATAGATATATATAGATATAGATATATGTATATATATGTATGTATTTCTCTTTAGCCAGGTTCTTCCTACATAAACCAAGATTTTTCTGCAGCCCTAGTAAGAAAACAAATACTGTACCTTTACAGGGAGGATACATGGGATGAAGGTGTGGCTAACTGATGAGGGTTTATAAGCCTGAAATAGATCTTTCTTAGTCTCCTTAGTCTCCCAATGTGCAACAGGGAGCTTGCTGGCTGCTGGAGGAAAAAAGAAAAAGCCTAGAAACTAGTGGATTGGGATTTCACTGAACTAGGGCTGCAGAAAAATCTTCGTTTACGTAGGAAGAACCTGGCGAAAGAGAAATACACATAAAGACCTACGAAAAGAAAAGAAAACACACACACATGTTTTTCTTTTTCGTAGGTTTTATGTGTATTTCTCTTTAGCCAGGTTCTACCTATGTAAATAGGCTGCATAATATCTTGGTTTACGTAGGTAGAACCTGCCTAAAGAGAAATACATATATATATATATATATCTACACAACAAATTCCCTGAAATTAAAGACATTTTTATCACATTGTCTGCTTTGATATAATGAGAGAGAGAGAGGGAGGGAGGAAGAGAGGGAGGGAGGGAGGGAGAGGGAGGGAGGGAGGGAGGGAGAGATATCATATGGATTGAATAATTAGTGGAACCGGAGGGACAGTTGAGATTTGAAAGATGACATGGGAGATTGGAGCTTTAATGCTTGTCTCGGTTTTGATTGTGATGCTGCTTCCAGCCCAAAGTAACTTTGCCTGCAATATCTTGGCAATGAGCTTCTTCTCATTGCCGAGATATTGTGGCCTGTCAGCTGCCGGCCCCACCAGCATCAGGGCAACCTGAGAGCTGCGAGGGGGAAGAGGGAATGGAGCTGTCAGAGCTAGAGACAAGAGGCGGAACTTGAGCCATCCATCAATCCTCAGATGGAGAGGCAACAGCCCCCAGGTCTGGAGGTGGCTGATGAGGAAGAGGAGGAACAGCTGGGTCCACAACTGGATCCTGCTCAGCTACAGGTTAAAGAAAAATTCATTGTAATAATGTGCGTCCCAAACTAAGGAGCCTAGATTAAAAGTTGCTTGAATTTGACTACTACAGGCAGTCCTTGACTTACAACAGTTTGTTTAGTGACTGTTACAACAGTAGTGAAAAAAAGGGACTCATGACTATTTTTCACACTCATGCCCTTTACAGCATCCCTGTGGGGGTCATGTGATAAAAATTCAGACACTTGGCAACTGACTCATATTTATAACGGTTCCAGTGTCATGCCATCATCCCCTTTGGCGAACCTTCTGAAAAGCGAAGTCAGTGGGGAAGCCAGATTTATTTAGCGACCGTGTTACTAACTTAACGATGGCAGTGATTCGCTTAACAGTGACAGCAAGAAAAGTCAAAATAGGGCCAAAGCTCACTTAACAAATGTCTCACTTAGCAACATAAATTTTTGGGCTCCCTGGTCCTAATTCCAGAACAGTGATGGCGAAACTTTTCAGCACCGTGCGTGTGCACACTGGAGCGCCGGCCAGTTGGTCTTTGCGCGCCAGAAACCCAAAGTCCAGCTGGCCGGTGTGCGCTGGTCTTTGGGTTTCTGGTGTACACCTGCACGCCAGTCAGCTTGTCTTTGGGTTTCCGGTGTACACCTGCATGCCAGTCAGCTGGTCTTTGTGCATGCTGGCCAGCTGGTCTTTGGGTTTCCGGTGTACAACTGCACGCCAGTCAGCTGGTCTTTGGGTTTCCGGTGTACACCTGCACCGCTCCAGCATGCGCGAAGACCAAAAGAGCAGCTGGGGATGGCGCGTGTGCCCACATAGAGGGCTCTGTGTGCCACCTCTGGCATGCGTGCCATAGGTTCACCATCACAGTTCTACAACTACCTGAGGCAGATGTCAAAGGCTGCACGAATTCAAGTGAGTAAATGTGAACCAGGTGATCTTAGAAATAATGGTGGACTAATTATGGATGAGGCCTCCCATACTTTTTGTTTTCCCCTCAGGAAAGATCATCATGCATGATCCTTTTGCCATGAGGCCTTTCTTCGGGTACAATTTCGGTCAATATCTTTCCCACTGGCTCAGCATGGCACATCGGCCTACAGCAAAACTCCCCAAGATCTTCCATGTCAACTGGTTCCGGAAAGACGAACAAGGAAGATTCCTTTGGCCCGGCTTTGGTGAAAACTCTCGGGTGCTGGAATGGATGTTTAACCGCATCCAGGGAGAAGAAGACTGTGCGCAGCTGACGGCCATTGGCTACATCCCCAACCAAACAGGATTGAACTTGAAAGGCTTGGAAAGGGTCAGCCTCCAGAAACTCTGCGACATTTCCAAAGAGTTTTGGGAAAAGGAGGTGGAAGAAATTAAGAAATATTTTGCAGAGCAGGTGAACGCCGACCTCCCTTATGAGATGGAAAGAGAAGTTATTGCGTTAGAACAGAGAATTAAACAACTGTAACATTGACTGGACACTGTAGACCAGGGGTGTCAAACTCTATTTCTTTGAGGGCCGCATCAGGGTTGTATTTGACCTCGGAGGGCTGGGGGTAGGCATGGCCAGGGGTGGGCATGGCCAGGGGTAGGCATGGCCAGCTCGACATCACTCATGTCAAGGGTGCCTGTGGCCAAGTGCTAAGACAGGACTTCCCTGAGATCTTCCCTCACTCTCATTATAATCTTCCTTCCTTCCTTCCTTCCTTCCTTCCTTCCTTCCTTCCTTCCTTCCTTCCTTCCTTCCTTCCTTCCTTCCTTCCTTCCCCTCCTTCCTTATTTTTCCTTCCTTGCTCTCTTCCCATCTTCCCTTCTTTTTCTTTGTCTTTCCTCTTTCCCTTTCTCCTTTCCTGTCCCTTCTCGCATGCTCAAATGCAAAAAGGGAAACATTTCTCCTTTTGTTTTGTTTTCGCTGCCCTCTGCTCCGTTTTCGCTGGCAGAGGGCTGCAGGACGCCGTCGTGGCTGAAAAAGGGGTGCGGAGGGGCCGCATGTGATCCCCCGTACTCTGTTTTCTCTGGCAGAGGCATCGTGGGGCAGTCCTTTGCTGTTTCCAGGCTGGCCCCATGGGCCAGATCTAAGCACCCCATGGGCCTAATTTGGCCCATGGGCCTTGAGTTTGACACCCCTACTTTAGATGGTACTTTGAAAAGAAATGTCCAACTTTTTTAGAAACTAGGCCTGAAAATGTAGTAAAATAGTGGCAATAACAGTTGTGGCTGGAAGTATCACTTGTGCAGTTTGATTGGAGTAGAGGTCTTCCAGTCACTCAAATAGTTGAAGCTGCTTCCTTACCTTGAAGCAACGATTGTAGAGTTGATCGGCATTATTGCTTCATAAAATAAATGAAATAATCAGAGCTTTTGCTTGATAAGCAGGTCTGCCTCCACTGCTAACTATTGTACTCACACGTCAAGTCAGGTATTCTTCCAGAATAGCTGTGGTTCTCCCTATAAACCTCCCTTGTGTGAATTCCTCTCTTCCTCTATCACTGCTCATTGTAGGATGTAGAGATTCTGCACTTCAGTAAGCAGGAGGTGAAAGACTAAAAGCTACTCAACCCAGCAGCTGTCCATTTTAATTTGCAACAGCATTAAGGTGGTGATAATGATATAATCCATAATGTAATGATGATGATATCTTCACTTACTTACTTGTCTTCTGGTACCATATTAAAGTGTCCTTGAAGAGAGCCAACTGTTCCTCATCACAATGACATTCTTCAGCATGTAGTTAATAATACTGAATAAAAACTTGTAGACATCTGCATTGTTGCAACAACAGATGAGGGACCATCAGAAGGAGTAATTAGCAGCTAAGGTATTTCGTGAAAATAAAGACACTCAAGAGATTACTACTCCATTGTGTCACACAGAAAACTGTATTTTCTGTATGCAAAATATTTTCTATGTGCCTTATGTTTTGTATTGTGATTCTGTCGTGTATAGGGAATCCTGATATGATTCCAGAATAATAAAATATAGCTTTGTATTTTGGCTTCTTGGTATGTACTCTGAATATAGTTTATAGTCAATCCAATCCCATGCATATTTATTTGGAAATCCCACTACAGACATTTCTGCATTGTTGTGCTATCTGTCGCCCCTGTGTGTCAGTACAAAAATTAGTGTCACGATACTGGCTGTTCCATTGTTGTTGCATATTCTGCCTCTGTAAAGTTTGTTGGGCCTCCAGGACAAATTAACCACGTTTTCCACGGCATCATGCATTTCAGATATGGTGATTGTTTCTCATCTCTGAGCTTTATTTGCTTCCAACCTCCCATGTTGCAATTCTGTAAGATATGGAAAATACAGTTGAATTCAGTGCGGTACTCTGGTACCATTATATCAATATGCCTGTTTATGGACTAACAAAATACTGTAGAATAATGAACCAGAATCTGTAGACTCTCCACCCAACACAGTTGTAAGGCCTAAACCAAAGTTGTTTTCAAAGAGACAGCAGGGAGATTGTGAGGGTACCATAAAATTCTCTTGAGTTGTTGCTGATACTATTTTCTATTAGACATTTTCCAATCTCTTTACATTATCCTTGGCGAACCACAACTAGAGGCAGAGAAGGTGGGAAATCAAAGAGGTTGTAAACTAATAAAACATGTTTGTTCAGGGGAAGATCCACAGTATATTCTTGGCCCCCATGTAATACCATCTAATAAGTGTAAAAACATCCTTTCCTTTCCTTTCCTTTCCTTTCCTTTCCTTTCCTTTCCTTTCCCTCTCCTTTCCTTTTGTTCCTTTCCTTTCCTTTCCTTTCCTTTCCTTTCCTTTCCTTTCCTTTCCCCTTCCCTTCCCTTCCCTTCCCTTCGCTTCCCTTCCCTTCCCTTCCTTTCCTTTCCTTTCCTTTCCTTTCCTTTCCTTTCCTTTCCTTTCTTTCTTTCCTTTCCTTTCCTTTCCTTTCCTTTCCCTCTCCTTTCTTTTGTTCCTTTCCTTTCCTTTCCTTTCCTTTCCTTTCCTTTCCCCTTCCCTTCCTTCCCTTCCCTTCCCTTCCCTTCCTTCGCTTCCCTTCCCTTCCCTTCCTTTCCTTTCCTTTCCTTTCCTTTCTTTCCTTTCCTTTCCTTTCCTTTCCTTTCCTCCTTTCCTTTCCTTTCCTTTCCTTTCCTTTCCTTTCCTTTCCTTTCCCCTTCCCTTCCCTTCCTTTCATTTCCTCCCCTCCCCTCCCCTCCCCTCCCCTCCCCTCGCCTTAAACCATAACACTACTATAATGTGTCAGCTTTCCCAGGTAGATCAGATAGGAAACCCAATCAGATGAACTAATTCTGCTTTATTATAAACCTGCATTAACAGAATCTTGCAGGTCTGAAAATACAAATCTGTCACTGTCTCATTTACAGCCTGAGAATCCAGAGGGTAGATCCCAGGGGTGCTATTCAGTAGGTTCTGACAGGTTCTGGAAATTTTGAGTAGTTTGGAGAACCGGCAAATACCACCTCTGGCTGGCCCGAGTGGGGAGGGAATGGGGATTTTGCAGTATCCTTCCCCTGCCACGCTCACCAAGCCATGCCCACAAGCCACACCACGCCTACCATGCCACGCCCACAGAACCGGTAGTAAAAAGAATTGAATCCCACCACTGGTGGGTCCCTTCTGAGCCTCTTTCTGCACCCATTAGGCAGCTGTGGACTGTGGCCTCTCTTATCTGACTGTTCCCTAAGCAGCACTTTTTGCGCCCCATATTTCAAGAACTTTTTCACATACTATTACAGTAACAGCATGAATAAAAGAGAGTTTTGTTGGCATGATAAAAACAAACAACTGGGAACAGATACTCATTTTTGTTACATATATAAAACTATTTTCTACCTATTTTCAATCCAGAAACTCAGCAATGTTATAAACACACACACACACACACACACACTACACACAGTGGTGGATTGTCCCCAGTTTGGACCGATTTGCAAGAACTGGTAGTAAAATTGGCGGGAGGCTCCACCCACTGACCCGGACGTCATCAGGAAGCTTCTGCGCACACGGCCCCGTTGCGAACCGGTAGTAAAGGTAAGTAGAACCCACCCCTGACTACACACTACACACACACACACACACACACAACACTAACACTGCACACGGAGACATATATTTGCAGACTTTGTGACTGATGGGATAGATCCTTTGTGCTTTCTTAGCAAGCTTTTCAGAAGTAGCTTCCTTAACAAGGCTGGTAAGTGGTGTTTGTCCTTGGTGTTTCAATGCAGGGCAAATAGAAAAGCATTTGTGGATTGATGGAATATCACTTGTGGAGAAAATAAGTGGCTCTCCTCGAATTGTGCTGAGGAAGAGCTGGTTGAGTGTAAGCGAGCGCTTGGAGCTGCCTGTTTAGCTGCCTCTCCAGTTGCTCAGAGACTGTCCCAAAGTCAGACCATGACTTTCCATATCTGAAGGTGTACATGAACTTGAGTCTTAATCCAATACTTTCACTTTATTGTGAGTTTCATTTAGCTGACCACATGATGGGCAAGAGGGAGTTGATTGGGCAGGCCTTAATTATATTCAGCCCCAGTTCAAAGCTGGAAAAGACTTACAACTTCTTCTCCTTCCCGATCATCTTGTGATCATCTTCATGAAACAAAATTGTTCTCTTCATTAGGGAAGGTGCTTTGTTGAGCAGGTGGCCATCCAAACCCAAATGAGATTCAAGCAATCTCTTTAAGTCCATTGCGGAGTCCTGCAGCACATCAAGAAATGCTCTATCTGGGACTTTTCTCTCCATTCAAAAGAATTCACCAGATTCCCAAATAGACGAGCGTCACAATTGGAATGAAATCCTTTTGGGGTTTTTTCTGGTGTCTAACCAGCTGGGGACGCGGTTGCTCAGTGGCTAAGACACTGAGCTTGTCGATCGAAAGGTCGGCAGTTCAGCGGTTCGAATCTCTAGTGCTGCGTAACAGGGTGAGCTCCCGTTACTTGTCCCAGCTTCTGCCAACCTAGCACTTCGAAAGCACATAAAAAATGCAAGTAGAAAAATAGAGACCACCTTTAGTGGGAAGGTAACAGCATTCCATGAGCCTTTGGCATTTAGTCATGCCAGCCACATGACCACGGAGACGTCTTCGGACATTGCAGGCTCTTCGGCTTTGAAACGGAGATGAGCACCGCCCCCTAGAGTCGGGAACGACTAGCACATATGTGCAAGGGAAACCTTTACCTTTACTTTAATCAGCTAGAGGATCTCCAGAACCAAGTGGCAGAGACAGCAAACGATAAAGAAAGTCTTAAGAAGGAACTGGAGGTGCTTGGAGGGGGTGTTCCCAGATGACACCCTCTCTATGCTAAAATTAAAATGTACCTTCAAGGAAGGCATGACGGGTGCAGAGGTAGCATGTTTTGCCCCCTTAGGGAAAAAAAATGCTTATTTCTTCAAACAGTGTATTGATTTCTCAAGGTTTCATTGGTTGAATAGTTTTCTTCTGATCATCTCTCAGTTTTATTACCTATAACGTTTGATGCATACCTCAGTTTTACTGTGATATGAATTGATGTTTTGTGTAGAATGCCCATCCTGCTTTCCATCTTTCAGGATGAAGGCATGGAATTAGAAATTTCTAAAACAAATCAATATTGAGTTGAAATTACGGTTCTCTGATGCTTTGACAGCTCATTCATATGTTTGGTGGCACATGGGGAAGTTTTTAATCCAGAAGAATCCAAAAATATTAAATATTACCTCCCTCCCTCTCTTTTTGTGAAGGGCTTCCTTGTGTATGTCTACTTCTATTCAAAATGAAATAAAAGTCGTCCTCAATTTACCACCAAATTTCTGTTGCTAAGTGAGATTTTTGTTAAGTGAGCTTTGCCTCATTTTACCACCTTTCCTGCCACAGTTGTTAAGTGAATCACTGCAGTTGTTAAGTTAATAACATGGTTGTTAAGTGAATCTGGCTTCACTTAACCCCACATGACCCTGGGACACTGCAACCGTCATAAATGTGAATCAGTTGCATCTGAATTTCGATCACATGACCATGGGCATGCTGCAAGGGCCATAAGTGTGAAACACGGTCTAAGTACCTTTTCTCCAGTGCCGTTGTAACTTTGAACGGTCACTAAATGAACTGTTGTAAGTCGAGGACTACCTAGGGCGTGTCAAATGTTTCAACTTGCAATTTCCAAACCTTAGGGGTGCTCAAAAGTTGTGACATGCCTTGGCGACTGTAAAGATAGCTTGGTTCAGTGGTGAAATTCAAACTTTTTTACTACCAGATCTGTGGGCGTGGCATGGTGGGCGTGGCAGGGGAAGGATACTGCAAAATCTCCATTTCCACCCCACTCTGGGGCCAGCCAGAGGTGGTATTTGCCGGTTCTCCAAACTACTCAAAATTTCCACTACTGGTTCTCCAGAACCTGTCAGAACCTGCTGGATTTCATCTCTGGCTTGGTTCCTTTAATATAATTCAGATGTGCTTGGTAAGTAACTAGATAAATATGATAGCTTTTTATGGTAACATTTTGTTTGTTTCATTTCCGTTGCTAAGCCAAACAGTTATTAAGTGTGTTGTACACCATTTTATGACCCTTTCCCCCCCACCGTTGCAGTTGTTAAATGAATCATGTAGTTGTTAAGTAAATCTGGCTTTCCCCATTTGTTGGTTGGAAATGGGCTGGGAAAGTTACAAATGGTGACCACAAGACCCCAAGATGCTTCAACAATTATAAATATGTGCCAGTTACCGAACGGCTGAATTTTGATTTCATTGTGACAACGGTCGTAAGTGTGAAAACTGGTCATAAGTCATTTTTTTCCCCTGTGCCATTGCAATTTCAAACAGTCAGTAAATGAATGGTTGTAAGTCAAGGACTACCTGTAATGAAAATTAAGGAAGACGCTGAGCATGGCTAGTCTAGTGAAGAGAAGGACCAGGGGAGACATGATAGCAGTATTCCAATATTTGAGGGGTTGCAACAGAGAGGGGATCAAGCTGTTTTCCAAAGCACCCGAAGGCCAAACAAGGAATAATGGATGGAAACTGAACAGG